ATCATATTATTTAATTAGTATTGATCAAGAATTAATTTGGAATTAATTTTGTGATCAAAACATACTAATTAAATATATGGGGATTGATTGTGTAAATCATTCATTCTTATAGAGTGGGCTTATGATCCATAGTTCTTTATGTTGGGCTAAACCCATGTGGTGACCCATGGATACTCCATGGAGGTTAAAACCCATGGAGCCTAAGGAATGTGGAAAGTCATGCACATTAGGGTTTGCATGGTGTAACCCTAGTTGTGCCATACTATATAAGAAACCCCTTAGTTGGTGAAATTGGTGCTAGAGAGACTAGTGTGTTCTTGGAGAGCCATAATCGATTTGTGTACACCATACTCTCTCAAAAGTCATCCTTTGTCCAAAGGTGTGTTGTGATTCCATTTGAGGCATTCACACTATTGGTGTTGAGTTCTTAAAGGCCAAAACTACAAGCTACAACAAAGAGGTAATTTTATAACTCATTTCTATGATGTTTATGTAAATTGTATGCTAGTTGTAGGATTAATGCTTTGGAAACAACAATGCATGTATAATTAGAGAAAACATAGATCCAAAGCATTTAGGGTTGTATATGCACCATAAGATGTTGTAGTATACTAAAACCCGTCACGAACTTCTATTCATGAAAACTTATTTACTTATTTTAGAAATGAACAGTGTTTATGAAAATTGTTATCAATCTTCTGATTATCATGATTTCAAGCTATATTATGTTATCAATATTCTGATTAAGGGTGTGTTTTAATTTGAAACCATCCGAAAGTTGAATATCACCAATTCCATCTACATGGATGTTTTCACCATTCAAAATGGTAATGGTGGTGACATCTTTGTTGTTTTTTTATTTCTTTTAACCAATTTTTATGTGCAATTATATGCTCACTAGCCCCTGAGTTTATCACCCAAGAGTTTTTAGAGGTATTTATCATGTTTGTATTTGGAGTACGGGAAGTCTTACCATCCATGTTTGCTTTCGGTGCGTGTTCTTGGGCTTTCATGGTTCGGAACATTTGCATGAGTTCATTGTATTCGTTGTTTGAGATATTTTTCTCTTCAGCGGTAGTGGTGTTGGCATCACGAGTTTGTGGTTTTGGTTTCCAGGTTGATATTTGGTGTTTGTTTATTTAACATTCCACCGATCCAGGTATCCTATCAACTCGAAATAACCTGCAATGGTGTGTCCGACCTTTTGAAAATTATTAAACCATTTGTCGTCGTTTCTCTTGCCACGATCGTCTCATTTTTTAGTGTTAAATTTTGTTGGAGGCTGCCTCTTTTTGTTTCTTCCCATCGTTTGAAAAGTAGCGGACTCATTCGAAGTGTGCCTTGCGAGACCGATTAGTCATTATTCTTCTTGGCTCATAAGGTGGAATGCAATTCCATGTGTGGGTAGGGGTTCAGTAGTTAAGATTTGGGTTTTGACGGTATCGTATTCTTCATTGAGACCCATCAAGAAATCGTAGAGTCGCTCCTTTTCACGTAGCTTTGTGATTTATTTGGAGATATCACAGGTACAACCATTACATTTACACGTGGGAAGTTAGATGATTTCTTGAATTTCGTCCCAAACGTTTCGTAGTTTGGTGTATTATGTCGAAATAGTCATTCCTTCTTAGCGTATGGTGGTAACGGTGTGTCTAAGTTCGTAAGCTCTAATAGCGTTTGCTTTTCCAAACCTTTCTTCAAGGTCGACCCATAGATCACGAACCGTTATTGCATATTTGACGCTGCTTTTGATTTTTCTTTCCATGGAACTAATGAGCCATCCACATACCATGGTGTTGCAGCGTTTCCAATTCATAAGGTTAGCTGTGTCTTCCACCAGCATTGGCATGGATCCATCGATGAAACCAAAATTATTCTTGGCTAACAAGGTGTTTGTCATCTCGTTTTTCCAGTCACTGTAATTCCATCACATAACAAGCTTTCACCCACAAAGTTTTGCACGGGATGATCGGCGACAGTGAGGAAGTACGAATATGTGATGTCGATATTGTCGTTTTCTTTCTTCGAACTTTCTTCGGCATCTCCGGCCATTGTTGAAAGCAAACTAAGATTTGATTCTCAGATTTTGCTCTGATAGCATATAAAATTCTAATGAATATTGTCTTCTTTCTTATTGATAAAAACGTAAATACAACATGCTATATATCCAAGAATATCACTAGAAAAAGGAAAGACATAAGACTCATAAATAGTTGCTAAATACATTACTTAGGGAGCAAAAGAATACTTTGTAAATAAGGAAACTAAAAGAATAAGAAATTAGAAGTATCTCAACAAAGATCATCATCCTGGAGTACCATATGTCCTGGTTTGAAGATAATCAAAAATAAAAACTAACAAATTGAGCATATTTCGATTAAAATGATTGCCTTTCTCACAATTTGTCAGGAGTTGCGAAATTGCTTTTTACGGACAAAAGACTACAAAAAATTTAAAAAAACAAGGAAGCATTTTGCAATTTCTATGAAACTAGTATTTAGTCATCTCACGCATTGCAGTGGAGAAATCCTTTACAAAAATAGAAGAAGATGCAAACAAAAATAAGGTTTGAAAGTGTATATTGATTGGTACAATACACAAATGATAATTAATTAAAAAATATATATAATAATAAAATTAATATTAATAAAAACGAAAACTTTAAAACAAATTGTGTAATAGACCAAAAGCACAACTTTAAAATATAGTAAATGACCAAAATCGCAACTAATAAAATATCAATAATTAAACTTTGAAATTATGAGAGATAAAAATTGTAAACACGTTGTGTGCATTGCCGCGGAAAACTCATTTGCAATTAATAAAAACAAAAAACATAAAAAAAAATTATGTAAGTGACTCAAACCGTAACTTTAATGCACGTGGTAACTCATTTGCAATTTATATATAGAATGTGATTTACAAATGTCATAGCACGGTGACGATACTACAAAAATATTACAATATAGTTTCGATCGGGAAGAGACAGATAAAAATAAAACTTAGCAAGTATATCGTACCATATAAAAATATATCATATTATATCACTTGAACAAAGTAATTATCTTATATTTTCTATTTATAGCCATTTTAAAAGTTTATAAACAAGTTTCATGCAATGTATTTATTTTTTAACTTGTAATTTATATTTTTTTTATATGAAACGACAGATGATTTTAAATTAAAAAGTATTATCTTTGAATACTATTGTATTAATGATGTGATTTATAACCGACCTTTCCATTATGACAAAATATTTCATGGACCCTTTTAAGAATTCTTTTGAACCAAGAACATTCATAAATCATAATTATGGATGTTATAAAATTATGGAACGAAGTTGAAACTTGATATATAATTAAGGGGTCGTTTGTGTAACTTACGACACATGTTTCCTTTCTAATCCGAAACTACCCTTCATTCTCTCGTTTTTTACATTGAATGCCACTGAAATGAACAGGACAATCGTCTCACATAACCAACATTGAAAACTAAACCACTACACTATTATCGATTGCACAGCCTTTCAATTTGACCATGAAACATCTATCTAATTTTACAGTAAGGAATGAGGAAATCAAATTAAAGATAAATTCAATGAATGTCCATCGATTCATAAATAACTGAAACTCTGAGCGAGGGAGAGAACGTACTCTGCGTCGCCGGGGTTCTTGGAGAATTTTGCATCGGTGGCTATATGACCATTTTTGACCATCATTTGCCTCGCCAATTCCCTTTGAGCAAGGCTAATTGCTTCTGGATCGAACATTTTTTTCTCCAAATCCCTTTGACTAGCGTCCATTCATTCTGCATCCATCTGATTAGCAGCCTCCATTGATGGAACCTTTTTTTCTCTTACCTGGAAACAACTGGAGCAGATGTTGGTGATGGTGGCGCCGAGTTCACCGAATTCCTGAAAATAGGCACTAATTTATATTGCGGAAACCTGAAAATCAAGTTAAAACATAAATCAGAAAGATGAAAACGAATAAAATACTACATGATAGTGGTGAAGGCAACGGTGTGTGTAGGTGATACAGAGCAAATATGTGCAGCCACAAAGTATTGATCTGATATTTAACAAATTGACTGCTAATTAAAAAACAAATCAATGCTTGGCAATTAACTGATAAATTGCAAAATTGATAGTCAATTTGTTAAATATCAGATCATGATCATATGGTGGTCATTTTGGCTGTAGATTTAATGAAATGTGTAGTTTAGGAAAGGAGAGTAGATGTCGATTTACATTACCCTTATCCTGCTATAGAGATGTGATTAAATTCATACATTGTGTTTCTAAACATTGGTTGTAGAAGAACACACCACCATATTTCATAACAATTACTACAACACTAGTAATAAAAAGAATTACACATTATTCCAAAATCTTCAATTTCAGCTGTCAAAATGCGTTTATAAATCAAGCATGATAGGAATTGAGCACTTTTAATCGCAACCATCACAGCTAAAATAAATTATGAAAGGAAATTAGCTAGATGTTATCCCAGCTCATATTAGACAACTTGCCAAATATAAATAATGTACAAGTTCATATGAACATACATGAACCAGTTAGCATCAGTTTTTTGTTTCTAATCATGTAAAACACAGACATAGCTCAACTCAAACACACCAAATACGTATCTTTTCACAATTATTTCCAAACTCAGTTAATATCACCAAAAAACGAGAAACAGTTCATAGTATATTTTTGGTTATAAACTAGGATAATGATCATGGTAATTGGTATAAACTAAGTGTTTATTATAATAATCCTTTAACATTTTCCCCTTGTACATTCTAATATCACCAAAAAAACGAGAAACAGTTCATGGTATATATTTGGTTATAACCTAGGATAATGATCATTGTAATGTATATAAACTAAGTATTTATTCTAATAATCGTTTAACATTTTCCCCTTGTACGTTCTAGATCCAAAGGCTCCAACTTCTATAAGTACTTGCCCTCTTCATTCATAAACCACCCAGATAAACATGGCCACACCAATAACAATTCAAAAACTCATGCTTCTGCTCAAAATATGCCTAGTCCTTTTCAGCGTGACAACAATAGCCACAAAGGATGCATCGAGTGAAACTGTGGGACCCATATTCATATTGGGGGATTCAATAGTAGATGTTGGCACAAACAACTACCTCAAAAACTGCAAAGCACAAGTCAATCGCCCATATTACGGGGTCGATTATCCAGGGTCAATAGCAACCGGAAGGTTCAGCAATGGCTTCAACCCTGCCGATACTATCGGTAAGTTATTCATTTTCATATACAACACAAAATCTCACCTCGACCCCAAAAAGGGAACTAAGCATTCCTTATAAGGATGTGGATCATCCCCTATTAAGACGCGTTTTAAATTCGTGAGAGCAGCACATTCCATGATATTTCCAATACCATAATGGGTGACCCTTAGGAAGTCCATGTGTTATGGTGTTGGGTTTTCCAAAGCAGACAATATCTTGGTATGTGTGTCTGGGATGTTAAAGATGTGTTAAGAAGGAAATTCCTAGGGCCCAATTTTTTTTTGTTTGTGCTCCACAATTTAACTCCATGCGATGAGCCTTGGGGTAGGTTCGGCATGGGTTGTCTAGAGAGTATGGTTTACCCTTATTTTTATAAATTTATGAATAAACAAGATTAAGATAATTATTATGTGTATGTGCAGTGCAACTTTTGGGTGGCTACAAAGAAAGTCCACCGCCATTTCTTGCACTCCTTGCACATAGTTCCAACCTTACGGGCGACTTACTTCAGGGGGTGAACTTTGCTTCCGGAGGTGCAGCTATTATTACAGGAATTGGGACAGATCTTGTGGTAAATGTCTTCTATATAAAATTGGAATACAATACAAGGGTTCTAAAAATATAGCAATTTTTGTCTTATCTACGTAAGTTTGGTTAAGGCAAATTCATGTCAAATACAGTACAAAGTCGTCTTGTTATGACTTATAAGTTATATCCTATCATGTCATGTTATGCATAACAAAGTATAATGCTAATACAGGGGAATGTGATATTTATGGATGAGCAAATTCAACAATTTGCAACGGTTCAAGGAAACATAACCACATTACTAGGCGAGTCAAAAGGTCAACTTCTGATTCAAAATTCAATGTACATCATTTGTGTTGGAAGCAACGACATCATGAACTACGTATTATATCATCCTACAACTCCCGAGGTTTTCATCGCCAACATTACAGCCACCTTCGCCATTCAACTAGAGGTTCACTAATATTTGTCACTACTCACTACCATCTCCAAATAGACGCCAAATTTCTACTCATATTATATTGTTTTTTTTTTTTTAAATTGGCAGAACTTATATAAGCTAGGAGCAAGAAAGTTTGGAATAATGGGTGTTCCACCAGTTGGATGTTGTCCAGTTTCCCGTGCATATACCGGTAGTGGTGATTGTGGACCGATATCTAACGGTTTGTCTGCAATGTTCTACACAGCATTAGAATCCCTTTTGAAAAAATTGAGCTTTACACTCGAAGGATTCAAGTACTCACTTGGGAACTCATACAATATGACTATGAGTGTCATTGAAAACCCCCCACCTGGTAAATCGAAACCATTAGGTTTTTTTTTTTTTTTTCCACATGCATATTTCTGACTCTAAAGTGGCATGTTTTCAGAGTTTAAAGATGTTAAAACAGCATGTTGTGGGAATCACTCAATAGATGGAATAAAAGACTGCAAGGAAGGAGGGTATCTTTGCCGAAATAGGGATAATCACTTGTTCTGGGATGCATTTCATCCTTCTCAGGCAGCCTCCAAACTGTCAGCTCAAGAGTTGGTTTTTGGTGAAGATCCGAATTTTGTGACTCCAATCAATTTTAGCACTTTGAGAAAGGCTTGATCTTTAGAATCTTAACTAGGAAGATGAAAAGATCATTAATTTGTATCGTGTGTTGCATTTTCTACTCTATTTATATCGTTCATGAATAAACTTCAGCGGATCTGAGCTGTCAACCTTTTCGCATTTATATCTGTTTTTGTTTTTACTATGGCCTCAGATAGATAACCACTATATGATGTTAACAAATTGACCATCTTTTTTACTAATAACACAAATGACCACCAATTTCACAATTGGTCAAATAGTCAATTGCATTTTACCAACAAAAATACTGACAATTTCACAGTTTTACCCTTCATTTATGTGATTACCCCTTTTCAACTTTATCCGTTTATGCTTTTCGTACAGTATTTACCTTATTACTTTTGTCCCCTTTTTGCAATCGTCTGCCTTCTTCTATTGGTATTGGTGTTGTATCTGTTTTTACTCCATGAGTTCTCAATAGACAGTTTAAACCCCTCAAGGGCACAAGTCAATGACAGATTGTAAACATACAATTGGGGGATTCTATTCATTTCTTTTAAACATAAAAGGGAATAGAAACGTGGTGAAAGATTGTGAACTCATAATAGCAGAATGTTGTAGAGTTTACTTTGAGGATACAAATTTTCTGACTGCATCACTAGATTGTTGAGCAAAATACTTTTGTCTAAGAAATACATACGGGTACCCAATAACAGAGAGAGGATGTGCTGGTTTAGAGAAGGAGAGTATTTCATACCAAACTTGTTTCTCTTCATCCATCTCAACTGAAAATCTCTCTTCACCAGACTGCTTTAAACAAAATTTCAATGAGAAACTTGATATTGAGTTTAGAAAAATGCTTCTAAAAAGGTTTCTACGGATTTACACAGACAAATATAGGGTTTTTGATAGGATAAGTTCAGAATTATCTCATCATATCAAATGAAAACATTACACATATAAAAAGAGGAAAGAAAGTACACACACCAGTAAATGTCCTCTGAGAGTGCCTCCACCAAAACCAAAAGAAGAAACAGCCAATTTAGGATTTCTAGTTTCATTAACATAAACAACCTGCAATGGCATCCTGAGCCATGGAAAGAACTCCTTCACACAAGCACAAAACTTCACCCCATTTTCAATTGGTGTCTTTGGATCAACAAATGCCCAACTCAATCCGAAATGCCTAAAATTTCCCAAAATAGAACCATCAATTGTGTGTATCTTAATAAAATCACAATCAGATTCTCTTCATTTTCAAATTCATTTGGAGGATAGTAAAGATGTAAACAAACCTCCAAGTTTGCAGAGCAGTCTTGCCTTTTTCGTATGCGTCAGAGCCTGATCCCACTAAAGTTTTTGAATGATTGATTAAAAATCCATCTTTTGAAAGCTCTTTATCTTCTTTAAGAACAGACAATGGTTTTACAGTAGCTCCTCTGTATTTACTGTCATAGTTGAAGGTACCTGACCTGATGGATATCGTCAAACATATTAGACGCAAACACATTAGTGAAATTAGGGTTTTATAGAACGAATCATACTGGTCTACTATTACAGTCCAACAAGGAAAAAGAAGTCCACAATATCTCAAATTCTTAGAACTGATATCGAATCACAAAATAAAGCAAATAATTGCTTAAATCTTACTTGCTAATGCAATCCTTCTGCTCTTTGGGAGAAGGGCGAGTCCAAGACAAGAACACCATAATCTATATCTCGATAATTTCAATTTTTTATTACGTTAATAAGCATCAAAACACGACTAATTCACGAAAGCTAACGCAGAAAGTGATTTGATGAAATTGGCAAACGGGGGTTTAATCTTGATGTGGTGTTGCAGGATTTTTGATTGATGATAGGGAGGAAGTTAAATTCTGTTGCGAGGTGCAGTTAAATGGATCATAGATATCAAATGGTAGCTGCGGTCGGGCGGGTAGGTGTGATGTATTTTTTTTTCTTTTTTTTTCAATGGTAAAAAGGTTTTGATTAGTCGCGACATGAGTTTTTATTTTATAAATTTTATCTACGGGTGTGGTAATTGTTTTACGTATAATTTTTTTTTTAATTTTAAATTTTTAATAAAAACCATTTTAAAATTTAAAATAACATAAAATTAAAAATTACATTTTAGAAATCCTAAAATTAAAAAATAACATGAAATTAAAAATTACATTAAAAACCTAAAAAAATAAATAAATAAAAACATGAAGTGAAAATTTTAATTTAAAAAAAAAACTAGAAAAAAAAAACACAACATCCAAATTTCAATTGTGTTTTAGCTTATATTTTTCACGTATCGAAGCATTCACTAGTTTAGCCGCCTCCTGATCTTCGGGGTCGAGGTGTCTCATATCTTGCATCAACAACGAAAATTTTTGTGAGTCCGATAGTTTTAATCATATGTTTCTCAAAAGTTGTATTCAATTGTGTCATTTATGTCATCATTTCTTTCGATCTAGTTGACCGTTTTGTTCCGATTGACGAATTTGACGATGTCACGTTTCCTTTTTCTTTTGGATAAATTACACCAATCGTCCCTCATGTATATGTCAGAAAGCGTGTTTAGTCCCTATTTTCAAAAATTAACTCGGACCGTTCGTGACTTTGTTTTTTTCTTGCACGCTTAGTCCCTATGGACATGAAATGACTATATTACCCTTAATAATTTCTTTTTTTTCATTTTCTTTTATTTCTTTGTCAGTTTAAATTAAAAAATAAATACATAAAACAAATATCCCCACCCCTCCCCTTATACCGACAGTCACAACCTCCATTAGCCACCACCACTACATTCGAGATCGACACCATATTTAGCCACAAGCATCACCGGAAACCGCTAGCGCCCTCTTTCTATCAATCTTAAATCACAGTACACCACTTCCCTTCTCCCCTGTTCTCACCTCATTCGTCGACCTACATCATTGAACCATAAACAACATATCTTATGGTGTTGTTATTGGTCAAACTTATAAAAATGGAGTTGTTGCATATATTTAAAATACGGGTAAACTCAATATGTCCTAGGATTTTCAATTTAAGATAATAGAAGGACTCTTGCAAAAGAAATGGCTAAAGAATGTGGCTTCAAAAATTGTAAATTTATGTCATTTGTATCTAAAAGTTACTTTATGATATAGTAATAGTTGATGTATTATGTGATTTTATCAAACATCATGTGTATATGAATTATTATATGATCATAAACTTAAAATATTATTTCTTTGGTATTCACATAACACCTACCTATCGTATTATATATATTTTTTCTATTTTGTTTAACGGTGTTATATGTAGCAATAAACACATATTTCTAATATATAATTCTGTTAAAAAATAGTTTTATTAGAAAATATAATCATGTTTTCAGTGATAGAAAATACAAATTCTTCTTAATAACAAATGTTTAATTTTGTTTATATATGGTTACTAACGGCAAGGCTATTATAGATAAGAGCTTTAGGAGTGCTTGATCCTTCCTCAACAAAAAAGGTTGAGAACTCAATGTCATCGAATTGTTTTCATGCCATATCTTTACATCATTGTTTTACTTTTAAGGGAGGATGGAGTCGTTCCCACTGAACCCACTGCTACATCAGTTTTTCTCTTTGATTTTTCTTTATCTTTCCGAACCCACAACACACGGAAATCATATCTTTCTCAACCCACTCAATTAAAAAAAATACAAAATAATCAAGGTAAAATCTTAATTAGCAATAGAGTTACCGCCGGTACCACTCCCTCTTCGGCGGATTGTTTAATTGGTTTCACTAACCCACTTCATCCTCTCTCTCTACTTTCTCTCTCTCATTTTCTCTTGTACCATGTGTTTTAAGACTTGTACCTTAATTGTTTGGTATTTTTTTTTAATTGAGTGGGTTGAGTGGGTTGAGAAATGTTGTGAAATACGAAGGATCCGAATAGACTTAAATAATATTAGCTCAATGCGGAATGGGATCAAAAATTATCAAAGCGTAATAATCACAACGAAATACGAATAAAATAAATAGAATAGAGACACACGAATTTACGTGGAAACCCAAATCGGGAAAAAACCACGGGCGGAGGAAGCCGAGAAACAATTCACTATAATTTGCAGTGTTTACAGGGATTATGAAAGAGATTACAAATAGAGTGAGAGAGCTAAAATATATGTGGTGGTGTATCTGTATATATATATATATATATATATATATATATATATATATATATATATATATATATATATATATATATATATATATATATATATATATGTAATGTTTTACTATATATATATATTTTGATTGTTTGGGTTTTTCGTGGGTTAAATCTCTCTGGCTATTTATAGCCAAAGAGGAGAATACAAATGAAAGAAGAAAACAAAAATGCCGTCCAAGACAAAATTGCTGCGCCTACAATCTTCAAATTCATATTGCATATTACTATACACATATAATAATGTCTGCGCCTCCATTCCGTCCAATTTCATTTTCAATTTCATATTAGATTACTATTCATAGTCAAACTATGAATAGTAAATGATAAGTTACGGAAATAACCCCTGAACTATTTGCCACTTGCTAATTTTGGAGGCAACTTTTCCACAATCTCCACCTTGACATCAAAATTAAGCAAGTCATGCTTTACGATTAGTCAAAACCTTTAGCTCATCAAACTCTAAAACTTCCATAAAAAACTGCAATTTTGTATAGAGAAAAATTGTTTCCGAAAAATAAATAATACTTCCTCCACCACGAGCCTTCAGGCTCAACTGCGATCAGAAACACCCACCATGTCCAAACATAATTTGAACTTGGCTATAGGAAGACTTTTAGTGAACATATCAGTGGGATTATAATCTGTATGAATCTTGTCCACAACACAATCACCTACTTCAATGATATTTCGCACAAAATGATAACGAATATCAATATGCTTTGTTCGGTCATGAAACATTTGATCTTTACTCAAGAAGATAGCACTCTGGTTGTCACAGAAAACTGTGGTCACCTTTATTCTATCATCGAGTTCTCCGAATAACCCCTTCAACCAGA